AAGGTGGTCAGGCACTCCCATTTCTTTAAGAACTTGCCATAGTTTGTTGTGGTCCACACAGTCAAAGGCTTTTGCGTAGTCAATGAATCCAGGTGGAGGCTCCGCCGACTGCTGCTACTGGTGCCGCCGCCGCCGCCCTCCCCAGAGCCTCCGCCCGTCGATTTCCCGCCGCCGTTGCTTGGTTTTTTACTGCTCCGCTCGCCCCGCGCCGAGGAAGAATCCTCGCCGCCCCGGGACCGTTTGGCCTTGGCAGGGGAACGCTCCTTGCCCTTCATGGCGGCGAGCGCCAGCGAAAGAGAACCGCGCGCGGAAAATCGCGCCTCACGCAGCCCCCGCCATCTTGGAACCTCCTGCAAATTCCAGCTCCACCCACTTGGCGTCCATTGGATGGTTTAATCGCACCCCGCCGTTCTCATTGCACGAAAGGTCTGTCACTACAAGGGAGGCTGGAACTGCAGCTTAGAGCACCGGAAGCGGAAAACCCGCCTTCCTTAACCGTTTTGCTTATCTGATTCGACGGTGAACTCGTCATTCCTAGCTTTCAGGAGGCCCGAACGACAGGAAAAGGAAGTTTGCCAGCCTTGAGGTCTGTGACTGGCGGTGTTAAAAGTCGGAGCTCAGAGTGGGTTGGATAAGAGTTCTGTCATTCATAACTAGTCTCTGCGTCGTAACTCGAGCGGTCATTGGCCATGTTCTTTAAATGGTTGGTTCCACCTCTCCCGGGTCGTTTTAGTTGGGGAGCAGGAGGGGATTAGCGAGGCATCTTGGATTGGATTGGATGAAAACAACGTTTATCGCCACCGTCGGGAGTGGCGGCCATGAACTCATTGGCCAAGCGAAGAATCTTGCGGAGGGGTGGGCGAGGCCTTCGTCGTTCGTTTGGCTGAGGCGCGAAGGAAGCAGTGAGGAGGCCTAGTCCCTGCCCTCTTTCGGCGCCCGCTTGGCAGGCGCGCCCGCAGCCGAATGGGGAGAGCTACGCGACCCAACGACGCATTTCAGTGTCTCCCACCCCGTTCGTAGGGTCAGATTTACTACTGAATTTCACCCAGTAAATCTTAACTACAGTATTTCTGCAAGCTTTCGTGGCTTAAACGCGTAGCAGAGCCGAGAACTCCCGCCCGAAAGGTTACGAAGCCTCGCTGTAGTAGGACTCCCGTATCCGCAGATCGGTTTTAAGCCCCCGCGGATGCTGGAAAACACGGATTGTAGCAAACACTATTATAACGTTAGTATATAATATTTCGTGTGTATTATGTAAATATTATATAGCTATAAAATATAATTTTAAAAAAACTTCAGAACGTGGATAAGAGAATCAATGGATACGGATTCTGTGGATACAGGTGTCCTACTATATTTAAGATTTAGTGGCTGAAATTCAGTAGTAAATCTCAATTTGAGGCTGATGAAATCTCTGGGGATTAGGTCAGTGACCTCCTTTGACAGTTCCATTGATTCAACCGGCCTAACTGCAGTTGTGATTTACTACAGGGTTTCATCTTTATATATATTATTTGATTTGTATCCCGCCCATCTGGTCTGAGCTGCTTGCTGTTCATTATTGGCTTTAATAGCAGTGTAAAGCAGACTGAAACACCAAATTAAATAAAGATGAACTTGTTATTTTCAAACTAATGCCCAGTGTGGTGTAGTGAGTAGAGTAAGGGGAGTCATGAAATAGGTGTTAGAATTGCTTTGAAAACTGTAGGTGGATCAGATAAAATCACTCACCTTGAAAGCTATTTATTCTTTGGTGATCTGCCATCCAATTACTGATCAGGCCTGTTGCTCTTAAGATTCCAAAATCAGAAAAGATTGGTCTGATATGTTATACACACTAGTTGTTAAAAGCTAATATTTTAAACAAAAGTTATCCAAAACAATCCTCTTCTTTCACTTAGGCTGGAGACTTGTCTTGGCCAGGCTGGTACAACACCTGCTACATCCAGTGTGTGCTCAAACACATGGGAGAGGGGATGCACACAACCAGCAAATGCAGAAATATCAGACATGCCCCATTGTCCCTGGAAACATGGCCAATGCTCAGCTGTCACTAACTGTGCTACTGATAATGCCCAGTTGCTCTGCGTACGGAACAACTAATAAATGCATGATAGTAGAGGAATTGTCCTTGTGTATCCTCTGTCTTGTCACGCACATATATCATCACCATACAAGATGATGACACTTCAGTACCTCCACACCATCAGCCCTATTCATCTGGAGTAACATGTGAATGTGGGTTTAAATTTTTAAAAATCATTTTTACCTTTTTTTTTTACTGTCTGAGAACACAGAGTTCTGACTCCTGTCCTCTGAAGATGCTGGCCACAGAGACATTAGGAAGAAAAAACTCAAGAACACAGCCAGATAGCCCGAAAAACCTACAACAACCATTTAAAAAAAATTGAATCATGATTTAAATTGATTTTTTTAATCATTGATTTTAATCTATGCTGCTTCTATGTGAATATTAATACAATCCCGTATGTTGCAAGAGTGTGAAACAAATAAATAAAATGAGATGGCCAACAATGACGCTCACCCCCAATTTCCAGTCCCCTTATGCTTCTCATAACCATAAACCTCTCTGGAAAGAATATGTGAAGAAATATAGTACTAGAGCAGTGGCTGGCTATACTAGTACCAATTATGGATTTGCGGCACTGTGGCAACATTTTGTGTTGTATGTAGTGTGATGCTGTGGTGTGTATTTGTTGATATGTTGCATTCATTGGCTTTTTCCCTGATTCATGTGGCAGTGGTTTGGGGGGAACCTGTCACATTAAGCTCACTTATTTTTCCCTGATTCATGTGGCAGTGGTTTGGTAAGCTCACTTACTATAACATTAATAGTATTGCACCACACCACCCTTTCAGGCATAGAAGACATTGGCCTGCCGATGTACAATACTGTGCAACTGAAGTACAGGATTGCTGCTCAATTAAGCAATACAGTATGTATATTTGAGAACACTCCACTTGTTTTCATTGCCACTGACCAGCAGAGGGCAGAAATTGTGTAGGAATTTGCCCACTGCTTTTCTAAATGCACAGGTCCCTTGGTTCTTATTCACCTGGTATTAGATGGTGACAGTAATAACTGTATGTGAAATTTGAACTGTGAAAATTCTCATCTCCCCAGAGCAATTCACTGCCATTGCACCAGTCTCATCTATTTATTTCAGTTAAATGGCTGCTGGTGGTTGCCTTCAAGTCAATTCTTACTGTATAGTGACCTTTTTCAAGGTTTTCTAGGTAGAGAATACTCAGAAGAGATTTACCATTCCTTTTTTCTGGAGGCATCCTGGAACTCTGTAGCTTGCCCGAAGCCACACAGGCTGGCTTTTTTGGGAATGCACAGTGAGGAATTTAACTCCCAACCTCTGGCTCCACAGCCAGATATCTAAATCACTACACTATCCAGCCAGTTTTAATACTTTTTTTAAATTAAAGAATGAATGAATGAATGTTGAGACACATTAATAGAGTAATTGATTACTTCCTTCTAGCATTGTAATATTTATAAGGGACTGCTAGATGAAACACCAAGAATTGTTCTGCTCTAGGCTACAGTTGACTAAACAATTGAATATTTACACATCTAGCACTTCTTTTGGCATGTGTAACCTGCTATATCCTGTCTTCATGGTGGGCATACTTCAGCTATGTGAGCAATGTTGTCCAGTCCCCTTTCTCCACCCTCTCAATGGTTCCCACACACCCCCTTCTTCCAAAATTTCAAGGCACAACAAAGGATGGGAATTCCCAACACGGTTTCCCTCTTCCCCAAGGCAGTTTCTTTCTGGGTATCTATCACAGAGGTGTATTTTCCTATCCATACTGTCAAAGGAACAGTGCTGTTAGTTTCTTTGTTTCTTAGATGTATTTTTGATGTTTGAAAAAAGAGGGAGGAAGGAGAAGGAGAAGAAGAGATAGGAAAGTATGTCAGGATTACAACAGGATAATGATGGCACCAGCATCTGGGACCTCCATAAATTTGCATTGGCATGGCAATTGTTCATAGCAAGCCTCATTTGGAAACCAACCAGCCAACCAACTGGCTCTTCTAGATGGAAAACTTGCCCTCCTCTTTTCTTTGTTTCTTTTTGCTGCTCAGTGCCAGAAGAGTGTTCAATTTACTGGGATTCATGTACAAACAGACCTACTTCTCTTCTTCTTAAGAAAGACATTTCTTTATAAGAGATTTCTATGAAATATTTTTAAGAAAGTGAAAAAAGTTCTGTGATGGGACTTCTTTGCTATTGCTTGTTCACTTGCACACTCTCTTTCTCTGTGGCCTATATCCTATTGCTAGTCATATTACTAGAGCAGATCCATTGAATCAGTTGTTGAAGGGTGAATCAATATTTACATAAGCACCATTGATTCAATAGAACTACTCCAGTGGGGACTACCAACAGGACTCTCTGGCCATATAGTTATTGTTGCTAACATGAAGTAAAAAGCACCATAGTGGTAAACTCTGGCCCCCACCAGAAAAAAGCAAGACTAAAAATAAGCCTTGCTTTCTAGGTCGCTGAGAAAGCACAGAAAGACAGGAGGAGCGTTGCTGAATTATGGGGAAAATACAAGTAAAGTAAATGCAGATCCAAGTACATTGAACAGAACAAATGATCAGTCTGGAAAAGCCCAGAGTCAAGGATTCTGCATTTCTGCTCCTAAAACAGAAGAAACAGCATGACAAACTGTCTTGGAATTTAGACAGAAACAAGGCATTGTGGCATAATGCTGCATTAATATGGACTGCAAAGAGAACAAACCTATCCATTTTGAAAGAAATCAACCCAGATCCTGAAGCTGAGGCTCCAATACTTTGGCCATCTCATGAGAAGACAGGACTCCCTGGAAAAGACCCTGATGTTGGGAAAGTGTGAAGGCAAGAGGAGAAGGGGAGGACAGAGGACGAGATGGCTGGACAGTGTCATCAAAGCTACCAACATGAATTTGACCAAACTCCGGGAGGCAGTGGAAGACAGGAGGGCCTGTCGTGCTCTGGTCCATGGGGTCACGAAGAGTCGGACACAACAACTAAACAACAAGAATGCACTTCTGATCCATCTCAAAATTTCTTGCAATACAGACAGTTGTAGGTCACTTTTGGGGCCCAATACAAATTGAAAACTGATTAACTGATCTCTTGCTCAGATTTCAGTGCTCTCAGATTCTGACTCCCAAAGCCCTAATGTCATAGTAACATTGCTTTTGTGCCAAGTCTTATAACTTGGAGGATTCGGTAATTGCACTTTTGTTCTTCTTGTTGTTGATTATGTAGATACTAGTGTGAGAGAGTGCGGTTTTTCTCTTCATTGTGGCAGGAAAATCTGAGCACTCTGTGAACTTGAATTGGGAAGACTGTAAATATCCAAACTGCATTTGTTTTAACAATGCCAGTTAGGCTTAAGCTCAAAGTATTAATTTAATTTCATAACTGAATGGTTATTTTAAAATTCCTGAATGATGACATAAAAGTTGCAGTGTAATTTTTCTGGCAGGACCTCAGTTCAAATTTAGTGTAATAATTGCCTTAAATGGGCAGTTTTCTGTACAGAAGGCGCAGTTTCCTACCATTTCTTTTCTGTAGGGTAGAATAACATAAGCTATATATTGATCTCTGACCAGAATTCATCTATGCTGCAGAAGACTTTTTTCTATTAATATGGTAGAATACTTCTGTTAGAGATCACCTGGAAGATCACTGAACATCAATCACTGCTTAATTTAATTTTGATTGTGTTTAATCAGACTGTTATACCCAGTGTCACATTTAAATAGTGAAAAATTAGGATTCTGAAAGGCCATGCAACTCATGTAAATTTACACTATTGTTTGAAAGAAAAGTTCTATGGCTAGAATCCAACAGGGCTCTACCATAATGGAATTTCTTTCACTAGCAGAACTGAGGGTGGGCAGTCTCCCCTTACAACCCCATCTGTCCTCCAAACCAGCTCTGGATAGCTGACAGGATTTTGGGCAGAATAGAGAACTAGAAGGGGAAAGGGGGATTGAGGGAAGAAATTCTCATTGTACTAGTGGATGAGTAGTAATGTGATGTTAAATATAGAACATGCATTGTAGGTAAGGAGCATGATATGTATTCAGTAGTGACTTCCATTTTCTATTTGTACCCCACTTACAGAGATTAATGGGGAGGGGATTTTGAATTAGATGGCACAACTTTCAACCTGGATTATGCCTATTTGGGTTCCAG